CTGTTTTTATGAGTTTGACTTTTTTTTTGGTAAGATTCCACATATAAGTGAGATCGTACAGTATTTCTCTTTCTCTGTCTGACTTATTTCACTTAGCATAATGTCCTCAAGATCCATCCATGTTGTCATGAAAGGAAGGATTCCTTTCTCATGGCTGAGTAATATTCCATTGACCACGTGTACCACATCTTCTTTATCCATTCTTCTGTTGATGGACGCTTAGGCTGATTCTATATGTTGGCTATTGTGCTAATGCTGCAGTGAACACAAGAGTGCAGATATGTCTTTGATATCCTATTTTTCCTTTAGATATATATGTATATACCCAGAAGTGGGATTACTGGATCATATGGTAGTTCTAGTTTTAATTTTTTGAAGAACCTCCATACTTTTTCCGTAGTGGCTGTACCAGTTTACATTCCCACTAACAGTGCACAAGGGCTCCCTTTTCCCCATCCTCACCAGAATTTATCTGTCTTTAGCCATTCTCACAGGTGTGAGGTGATAGCTCATTGTGGTTTAGTTTGCATTTCCCCTATGATTAGTGATGTTGAAGATCTTTTCATGTACCATTTGTATCTCTTCTTTGGAGAAATATCTATGCCATTCCTCTGCCCATTTTTCCATCAGATTGCTTGTTTTTTTGCTATTGAGTTGTGTGAGTTCTTCATATGTTTTGGATATTAACCACTTATCAGATATATGATTTGCAAATATTGTCTCCCATTTGGTAGGTTGCCTTTTATTTTGTTGATGGTTTTCTTTGCTATGCAAAAGCTTTTTTAGTTTGATGTAGTCCTACGTGTTTATTTTTACTTTTGTTGCCTTTCCTTTGTTTTTGGTGTCAAATCTAAAAAATCATCACCAAAACTGATGTCAAGGACTTACCCCCTATGTTTTCTTCTAGAGGTTTATAGTTTCAGATCCTTAAATTTAGGTCTTTAATCCATTTTGAATTGATTTTTGTGTATGCTGTAAGATAGGAATCCAGTTGCATTCTTTTGCACGTGGCTGTCCAGTTTTCCCAATGCTATTTATTGAAGAGACTATCCTTTCCCCATTGTATATTCTTGGCTCCTTTGTCATGAATTAATTGACCGTATATGCATGGATTTATTTCTGGGCTTTCTTTTCTGTTCCGTTGATCTGTGTGTCTGTTTTTATGCCAGTATTATGCTGTTTTGATTACTATATCTGTGTAATATTGTTTGAAATCAGGATATGTGATGCCTCCAGCTTTGTTGTTCTTTCTGAAGATCACTTTGGCTATTTGGGGTCTTTTGTAGATCCATACAGATTTTAGGATATTTTTTTTCTATTTCGGAGAAAAATGGCATTGGAATTTTGATAGGGATTGCAATGAATCTGTAAATTGCTTTGGATAGTATGCACATTTTAACAATATTAATTCTTCCAATCTATGAGCTCAGAATATCTTTCCATTTATTTGTGTCCTCTTCCATTTCTTGCATCAAAATCTCATAGTTTTCAGTGTATAGATTTTTCACCTCCTTGGTTAAATTTATTCCTAAGTATTTTATTTTTTTGATGCTATTGTGAATAAGGTTGTTTTCTTTATTTCTGTTTCTGTTAATTCATTGTTACTATACGACAACACAACTGATTTTTTTTATATTGATTTTGTATCCTGCAACTTTACTGAATTTGTTTATTAGTTCAAACAGTTTTTTGGTGGAGTCTTTAGGGTTTTGTACAGATAATATCATATTGTCTGCAAATAGAGACAGTTTTACTTCTTCCTTTGTAATTTGGATACCTTTTATTTCTTTTTATTTTTTGCCTAATTGCTCTGGCTAGGACTTCACATACTATGTTGAATAAAAGCGGCAAGGGTCAGCCTCCTTGTCTTGTTCTTCATCTTGGAGGAAAAGCTTTCAACTTTTTACCATTGAGTATGATGTTCGCTGTGGACTTGTCACACATGGCCTTTATTATGTTAAGGTGCATTCCCTCTATGCCCAGTTGTTGAGAGTTTTTATCCAACACAGTTTTAAAATGTTATCCACTACCTTTTCAAGGGAGAAAAATGCAAATAGAGGAAATTGTAGTTTAACAAGCTTGGTATTTTTGATTTCCAGTAGAATTTGATAAGCAAATAATTAGGTTCAGAATTTGAAGGAACATAGTCCAAAACCTTGTTGAAATTAAGATCTACTAAGTCTCTGATGTTGCCTCTGAGAACAAATTGGAGAAACAGGAGGAAAATGACGCTACGGTTTAGGGGCTTTGTGGCTTTATGTGTAGATGAGCAATTCTATGTGAAAAGTATTGACACAGAAAAAGCTAACAATATATTGTTCAGTGAAAAAGCAGGTTGTAAAACAGTAGAGCACAATACTATTATTGTAAATAATATAGAGGTAGCTATAAATATATAAAGAAAAATTACTGGGAGATTCTATCCTAAAATATTATTAGTGGTTATATCCGGGAATTATTTTTCCTTCTTAGCTTTTTTTCTGCATTTCTAAATTTCATATCATTAAGTTATATACAATTTTTTTTTTTAATTGCAAAAGAAAACAGTCAAAAGAAAAAAGTCATGAGAGAACAGAAATGTTGATTCATCTGTTGATTTCACGCATGGGAGAATGTTGTGAAGGAATGGTGTCTCTTTAACTGTTATGTGGAATTCTCATTGTGTGGATATTGCCATATTCTATTAACTGGAGTTCTCAAAAATGTCTTGTCATCAGAATCACCAGAGACATCGTTAAAAATACAGATGTTGGGCCCTATCCTTCTGATAGAGTAGGCCTGGGTTGGGGCTTGGGAATCCAATGACAGGGAATTGGTGAAATTATGGCTTATCCATAAAAGTCAAAAACATATACCCATTAATAATGAGGTAAAGGAGACTACTTAATGACTTGGGAAGTTATTCATAGTATCTTAAATGAAAGGAGATGCTTACAAAATAATATGATGCAATTTTGTAAAGAAGAATTTTTACACATACACACACACACACACCACAAAAGAACGTACACCAAAATGTTAACAATAATTAATAGCTTGTATAACGGGATTATTATTTTTATTTTTTTCTTTTTGATTTGTATTTTGTAAATTTTTTATACTTTTCATATGTTGGTTTTATAGTTATTTTAAAATCATTGTTTGCATCCTTTTCTTTATAAGGGTGTAATTGCAAAAGATAGAGAATTAACAGAACATTTCATAATAGAGATAAATTTTTAACCAAAGAGCCATTCTGTTTTCATAAAAGAGAGGTCCACATGGGAACACTACCTAGGTGAGGGTTTATAAATCATAATGAGCATTTATAAGCTGGTGAAACATGGATTGTTTAGGATACACTGTAAATCTAATTTTGATTTATATTTCCACCAAGAATTCCTCCCTTTATGCATCTCTGAGTTTCTGTGAAGTAGTTGGCATTCCCTTGAGCCGGAGGGGCAGAGGTTAGATATGTTTACATATTTATTCTCCAACGAGATGTTTTTGTAACCTATCTGTCCCACATGGGATAGCCCAAGGGCTTCACAAGGCTGCCTCACCAATTAAAAACAATTTCACCAAGTTCATTAGTCATTTCTCCAAATTTATTAAATTTACGTTTCAGACCTATTTATCAGGTGGCTGCTATGGTAGCACTGTGTTCTGGAGACTAGAGATAAATAAAGCTTGAACTCCTAAACTGTGCCTTATAAGAGTTCAATATAGATAGAGAGATAGACATTTAAAAAAATTGTTAAATTCAGTAAAATGTAAAATAACGATGGTAAACTGAGAGCATGAGATTAGAGCAAAGGTTCTCATTCCTGGCTGCCCATGAAAAGTAACTCTGGAGGCTTTTGAAAAAATAGAGATGTCTTGTCCCCACCAGCAGAACATTGAATTACCAGGTTCAGGATGAGGGTACAGCATCCACATTTAATAAAGTCTTCTCAGGTGCTTCTGATCTATTGCTGAGTGTTGAGGCCTACTGTATTATAGCAACTAATTCTGCCTGTGGGTGTTCCAGAACTCAGCAATGAGGAAATGCCAGTTGAGCTGAATCTTGGAGGATGAATATGAATTTGATGTCAAAAGGTAATCTAAACAGAAGAGATAGGGGTTCAAAGTCCAGAAGCCAGGCCAGGGCCAGGTTGACCTGGGAATTGGTAAGTGCTTCAACATGGTGAGAGCATAGAGGGCAGAGTGCATGTTGTGTGTGTCCAGGAAGAGAGGGCGTGGAGGGTACATAATGCAGGGGCAGACGAAACGTGAGGAGTTGGAGCTCATGGTGACCTGAGGGTGTGTGGGCTGCAAGGGAGAGGCCTGGTCACAGTGCCAGTGGTGGAGAGGGAAGAGGTCACAGGATCACTGGGCAGGATTTGAGAGACATTTCTAAGACAGAAGTCACAGAATTTGACAGTTGTGCCTGCTGTGTTATCTATTAGTAATATCTCTTCTGGAATTTTTTTTTGAGCCTTCGCTTCTGTATTTTTTTCCTCAAATAATAGAAAAGCATTCCCTTGAATTCACATATCCCCAGTTATTTTACCTTTTCTCTGTAGACCTAGAGAATACTAAATGTGAAAAAATACCCTTGTCTCCATGATAATAGAATGTGACTTTATGTATATATTCATTTATATACATATATATTTTGTAATCACATATATATATTTTTTCTTATCATCAACAATCACCTTCCCCGGAGCACATACTGAGAATAAGCCTGTAAGCTTTGGAAGCACAGTACCAGGAGAATTCGATGAGCTAATCTCTGTGTTCCATTATGCTCTCTCACTTGATATTTGTGAATGCAAATATGTCTGACAAATGTAAATAAGGGTGTCACACCTCAGAGTAGTACCCACTTCCACCTTGCCCTTCCTTATCATGCGTGTGTGGGGATGAACGTGCCATTTTAATCTTCTCATATTTTCTCAGTGGAACTTTATAGAGTGCAATGGTGAGTTCTCTTGTTTCCAAGGTATAGAAACAGATCTGCTTTTTCCTCCTTGTAGAATTCAGCGCATTTTCAAATACCTTGAAAAGGTGCCAGAATGAGAAAAAGGAATGCTCGGTGTTCAGCCAGCGGACAGAAGAGGCGTCTGCCGCACAATATTTCCAGGTCAGGGAAATTGCCCCCGGTAGAATTGAGTTGTTTCAAGATGACACACACCTGTGAATACACCTGTGCAGGGTGGTGGGTGGAGAGGAGACAATTGATGTTATACTGCAGTGGTTCTCAAAGGGTGGTCCTCAGACCAGCAGCAGCAGCATCTCCTGAATTGGAATCCTCACTGTCACTTAGCAAGTTGTCAGGTTGTCAGGACTTGGGCAAGTTGCTGTATCTTTCTGAGCCTCAGTTTCCTCAGCTGAGGAACATAATTCATCTGATTGTTGTGATGATTTAATTTGATTAGAGGATGTATGTGAAGCACTTAGCATGGTGCCTGGCACACAGAAAACTCAAATGGTGGCAGTTACAATGATGATATTTATTACTGACTGTCAATGCTCATGGATTTATATGCACCACATCACCCCACTGGCTTACCTCATCAGGATAACCACCATCACTACCTTCTGCCCCACCCCGACCCTCACCCAGGATTTCTATCCAAGACCTGTTTTTCTCTCTGGGCTGATGGGACTCATCGGGGCCATCCCTTTTGGCCCTGGCCCCTTTCTCTCTCTTCTCTCTCTTATTCTTGATCTGTGTTCTCTCATAGCCTCTGCTTTGGGAAGGGCCCCTGGGCACCTATCCAGTCAAGATCTAGGCCTGAATCTATTGTATGGAACAACAGTTAGAAGTCTGGGGTTAACTTACAACTCTGGCCTTACACATAGGGCCAATGTGAACAAGTCACTGCGTCTCTCAGAGCCTCAGCCTCCCTGTGTGTTAGGCCAAGCCTACCTTGACCAAGGTGTCTGTAAGAACCGGATGCTCAGGAAGGTGCTGCCCCACGGTTGTTTACCGTCTGTCTCCTTCTCTTTCCCCTACAGTTTTATGGCTGCATTTCCCAGCAGCAGAACATGATGCAAGATTTTGTGAGGACAGCTACTTACCACAGAGCCATCCTCCAGAACCACATTGACTTTAGAAACAAGGTAATGCTGGTAGCGGGTTATTAATCTCAAACCATTTTAAGAAACCTTGTCAAAAACTAGAATAAAAATTAAGCTTTGATAGAATTACCATATGACCCAGCAATTCCATTCCTAACTGTGTACCCAAAAGAATTGAAAGCAAGTATTTAAACAACTATTTGTACCTGAATGTTCATAACAGCACTATTTACAATAGCCAAAAAGTGGAAACAATTCAAATGCCCATCCACTGATAAAAGATAAACAAAATGTGGTATATTCCTACAATGGAATATTATGAATATTATTTATATTTTCCATAAAAAGGAATGAAATGCTGATACATACTTCAACATGGATGAACCGCAAAAACATGCTAAGTGAATGAAGCCAATTACAAAAGGTCATATGATTCCATTTATATGAAACATCCAGAATAGGCAAATCCATAGAGAAAGCAGACTAGTGATTGCCAGGGGCTGGGGCAGGGGGAAATGGGGAGTGGCTGCTTAATGGGTACAGGTTGCCTTTTGGGGTGATGCAAATGTCTTGGAACTTGATAGAAGTAATGGTTGCACAATAAAGTGAATGTACCAAATGGCACTGAATTGTACACTTTAAAATGGTTAATGGTTGATTTTACGTTATGTGAATTTTACCTCAATGAAGAAATTAAGCTTTGAGTGCTAGGAACTCAAGAGACTGAATGCACTGTGTTTTGGTGCATAGAACAGGTTAGGAGCTTTATTGCTATATAATGAATAGCTCTTATTGAGTCACTTTACTTCAATTTTTTCTCCTACACTCCACAAGTGCTTGCATTTATTTCCTTCGCAAAATGGATCTGAATGGTGAATGATTGCTAACACATTATACAAGTGTTATCCATTGTTCTCCTACCTATTAAACTGCCAAAGTGCTCAAAATACTAGACAGCTTATCTCAGAGACAAGAGCACTGGTCAGTGGAATCAGAAGTCATGGGATCTAGTTTCATATTTTCCACCTTAACTAGCTGTGTGATCTTAGGCAAAACACTCAATTTCTGTGAGCCTCACAATCTGTTCTCCTGCCTCAGGAATTGTAGATCCATCGCCTTTGAGATTTGCAGCAGTAATTCCAGGAAGGATGTGGTAGAACTTTGAAATAATGATTCTAATGACTCATGCTTCCCCACGTCCACGCCCATTTGCAAAGTCGTGTAGCTGCTCCTTTCATCAAGAGATAGTCTGTCTTTTTTACCCCTTATTTCTGTGCTGTTCTTGTGATATGCCTTGACCAATACAATATGACAGAGGTGACATTGTGTAAGTTTCAGAGCCTAGGCCTTAAGGGGCCTTGTAGCTTCTGGTCTCACTCTTTTGGAACCCTGTGATCACCATACCGTGAAGAAGCCCAGTCTAGCCTACTGGAGGTTGAGAGGTCGCCTGGAGGAGAACCGAGGCACTCCAGTCAGCAGCCAGCACCAGCTGCCAGACCTGTGAGTGAGGCTGTCTGGACCTTCTAGTCCAACCGCCCAGCCTGCTGAATGCAGAAACATGAATAAGTCCAGGCAAGACCAGCAAACTGCCCAGCCCTCCCACAGAATTGGGAGAAATAATAAATTGTTTCCAGTTTAGGCCACTAAATTTTGATGTGTTTGTTATGCAGCAGTAGTTAATTAAAACACAGAGAAAATGCATAAAAAAATAGTGATAAGTGTGCATCCAGCTAGAAGTTAATTTGCCCCTGGCTTTCTTTCCTCTGTCATCTCTGTTCTGCTATTGAGCCCATCAGAGAATTTTTTATTTTGGTTATTGTATTTTTCAATTCCAAAATTTCTGTTTGGCTCTTCTTTATCTCATCTGTTTATTGACTGAGACTCTATTTTTCCATTAGTTTCAGCAGTGTTCATGATTGCTGGTTGGAACTTCTTTATAATAGCTGCTTTAAAGTTTTTGTCAGATAATTCTAACATCTACGTCGTTGCTGTGTTAGCTTCAGTTGATTATCTTTTCCCAGGGAATTGAGATTTTCCTGATTCTTTGTATGCCGAGCAATTTTCGATTATATTCCATACATTTTGGTTATTATGTTATGAGACTCTAGGTCTTGTTTAAAGCCTGTGGAGAGTGTTGATATTTTTATTTTAGTATTCATTGAACCTGGGTAGGTTCAGGCTGTGAGTTCTATGCCACTAGTTGGCCTTCTGAGGGCTTTAGTTCCTATGTCAGTTCAGTTTTCAAAGCCTTGGCAGTGCTATTTGGATCTGTCTCATGTATGTGTCACCCAGTGATCAGTCTGGCACCTAGGGGTGGACTTCTCAAAGTTTGGGTATGCTAAACATCAGATCCGTGCATGCACAGATTGAGGGTGAGCCTAGGAATTTATTAAAAAAATAAATTTTGGGGGGTTGCTGTGCCAAGCTCTTCCCTCTCCGTGATATTCCTGGTACTTTCTGGTTCCCTGGGACTGCTTTTCAGTCTCTGGCCAAAAAGCTCACTCCACTGTGCACTTCCATAACTTTGCCTATGTATTGGCCAAGCTGAGAGAGGACAAGGAGAGAAAACAGGCAACGGGAGTTGGCCCTAGACTTTGGGAATGACGGCACCATTGAATGCAGAGGTAGGTTCCCCTCCCTCATAGTTTTGGCTCCTGTAGGCTGATGCTGTCACTACCACAAGATTGCCGGGGGCTGGAGCATAGAAGAAAGGAGGAAAGGAAAGGAAAAGAAAGGAGGGGAGAAGGGAGGAGGAGGAAGGGGGAGAGAGAGGAGGGGAGAGGAAAAGAAAAAAAGAAGAGGAAAGGAAAAACAGAGCATTTCCACACTCTCTCTGAGCATTAGAAGTTTCCTCTCCTGATGCTGGAGCCAAAACTAGAGTGTGTCTCCAAGAGTTTTCTTGTCTGTATGCTGGCACCTACTTCTGGTGTGTTGAGTTCAGGCCATGGGTGGGGGATATTTTGAATTCTGATCTTCTTCCTCAATCTACCTGCTACTATATACTTTTCAGTGTCTACAAGTAGCTGCCCCGTGCATTCTTTCCAGATTTCACAGCTATATTCAGTGGGAGAGACAGAGTGAAGTTGGCTTTCTCTGACTTACCCAAGACCGGACACTTTCTAAAAGCCAGATCTAGGTACTCTGGTGGGTGAGAGTGATGCTAAAAGACAAAGATAAGACCAGAAATGGCCGTGTTGGGCCAAAGGGTCTCATATGCCTTGTCATATGGCTTGAGATGCTCAGGGCTCTTGCTTTGCCAGTAGGACATGCTGGTTAACAATTATGAAGTAAGCATTGCTAATGCAGAGGACTTGATTATGGTAGGTGGGCAGGATGAGGAGAGAGGGGAAAAGCTTCTTTCTTTTGACACCTTATCTGGTATTCAAGATTGTAGGTAAGCAGTCTTATTGGCCTAAGATAGGTTTCTTGCCAGTTAAAAAAAACGTCATCTGTGAACTATTGATTGCTTCTTTGTGGTTTGAAGATGTTTCCTGGAGGTAATACTTTTATTTAGAGAAATTTCTCTCCCTCTGAAGTTGCTTAGTTTTAATCTATTTTCTATTATCCATAATCTATTTTCTATACTATCTAGAATCTATTTTTAATTCTGGTTACTTCTTCCAAAGACCACTCCCCAAACTGCTAATTATACTAATAATTTGCATTATATGACTCTTTCACAGAATTTCACATGGATCATGTTACTTTACCATTTCATTTGTGTATCTTTTCATGTATAAGAATGAAGGTATTGGACTGGATCATCTTTAAGGTCACTTGTAGCTCTAACCTCATTTGATTTTACAAAATACCCTTTTCCAGCCAACCTGAAACGGGTTTATCGGCCATTGAAGTAACATAGGCATCCATCTGTTGGGGTTTGTGAAGGTGATAATTAATTATATGGTTGATAATTAATTACAGTCCTGCACCACATAATGACCTTTTGGTCAACAACGGACCGCATTTACGATGGTGCTCCCATAAGATGAGTAGCATGTAGCCTAGGTGTGTAGTAGGCTAGACCATCTAGGTTTGTGTAAGTATACTCTGCAATGTTCTCACAATGATGAAATTGCCTAACAATGCATTTCTCAGAATGTATCCACGTCGTTAAGCAATGGCCTGACTGTATATCCCTTTCCCCCTCTGAGTTCTGGACCAACTTAGAAATAGACGCAGAGGTCAGGTAGAAATCACAATATCAGCTTTATTGTTGGTAATGCTGTTTGGAGAACAGGGCTTGAATCTGTAGCCAAATAAGTCTTACTACTCTGTTTTCCCCTAAACTGAACTTTTCCACCCTTTTGTATGCTGAACAACTGGTCTCCGCAGGCAAATCCAGAGCCTGCCCATCAAGCTTCCACATGGGGGACTCAAGAGCGCATGCTTGAGAGGGGGTGGGCAGCCTGGCCCCTTCCAAGCACCTGGGCTCTGCATACTCAGTCCTATTTCCCAGTGTCACCAGTCAGATGGGTCACTCATATTGTGAAGAAAAAAGAGGAAAGGGAGATGACTACTCTAACTTCCACTACTGCCCTTTCCTGTGAATAAATATCCTCTCCCCTCTGAAAACTGAAAGAGCAAATTGTCCCAGTTTTAGTGTCCCAGGAATCCCCTCAGTCCCAGACAAACTAGGATGGTTGGTCACCCTAACACCAAGTCTACCAAATCCACTACAAATCCAAAATCCTTTTAAATTCTTTTTTGTTTGTGTCATCATACTGAAGACCATTCTAGAATGACCCCTGTGAGTCTGTGGAGGATGCTACCTTTTCACTAAACCCTTATAGTCTTTCTCATTGAAACTGACTACCTAAAAGGGCATGGGTTTAGAATGATCAGTACCAATGTCTATTATTCGTTGAAGTACTTAGTATATGCAGGCACCATGCTGAGAACTTTCCACATGTTGTTTCTGTCTTAGGCAGTTCATGCTGCTGTAACGAAAATACCATAGACTGGATGGCTTAAACAACAAACATTTATTTCTCATGGTTCTGAAGGCTGGAAGTCCAAGATCAGTGTGCTGGTAGAGCAGG